CAAATGGAGCTTCTGAGGGGCAGATCCACCTCTCAGAAGCTCCATTTCGGCCGACAACATGCCAGGCGAGGCCTGCGGAGGCCTGAACAGAGCGTCGGAGGGGCGCACACAGGTGAGAGAGGAGACTGCTTGCTAGATCTTCACAAGGAAAGTGACCAGGCATGGCAGGTTGGGGGGGGGGAAGCAATTGTGGATAGCATGAGGTATTTCAGTGGGTCAGGGAGACCTTCGGTGGTCTTAGGCAAGTGGCCTATTCCATCACTAGCCCCCCTCTCATGGCCTTCCCCGCCCTGAAATAGCTTGCGTGTATTTAACGAGCCTCTCATTCAATTAGCAAATGTGTGGGCGAAAGGAGGGAGTGATCCTACTCAAGGTACGAGATTCACTCCCATGAATCCTTGGGTTACGAATGGAATGGGCAGGCTCAATTACATTCCTAACTCAAGGAACTCCTGTACCTCTTTAATCACCTCTTTAAGCATTTACAATGCTTACTCACTTGGAGAAACAGCAGTGTGGCATAAAACAGCTGTACCCAAGTACTTTTCACTGGGATTTCAAAATGCTGATACAGGTAGACTTCAATTTAACAACCACAATTGAGCCCAGCATTTTACTACCTTTTTTGCCATAGTTCTTAAGTAAATCACTGCAACTGTTAAGTTAGTAACACGGTGGTTAAGAGAATCTGGCTTCCCCATTGACTTTGCTTGTCAAAGGATCACAAAAGGTGATCACGTGACCTCAGGACACTATAATCATTGTAAATATGAATCAGTTGCCCAGTCCATATATTGGTCATGTGACCATGGGGATACTACAACAGTCGTAAGTGTGAAAAAGTCACTTTTTTCAATGCCATGGTAACTTCAAATGGTCACAAAAGGAATGGTTGTAAATTGAAGAATATCTATAATATAGGGAGAAAATCTAAGAATAAAGGAAGGAATAACACACCTGTATGAGACCAGTTTCTATGTTTTTCACATCACTATGGAAAAAGAAATATACCTTAATACAGATCCACAATTATTAAGAATAGTTTTCTAACCATGTAAACATGATTTTTGATACCATGTGAACCAATATTTTGTCTAGGCAATTTAATCTAATGGATGTAGGTATTATTCAGTATGCACTGGAAAAATATGCATCTCAATACAATCAGCCAAAACTGCCAAAGGTGCACAATAATGTATTCATAATTAGCATCCATTAGTTACTAAAGAACTTCTGAAATGAGAAGTCTTCTGCATTGAAAAATGAAATGCTCCACCCGATCACCTTGGAATCTCCCCGTGAAGTTCTTCTCAATTTTTCAACCAAACTTCTAGAGGGAGGAACGTCAATTACAGTACCACAACTGTGTGCTGACATCGCATTCACCACAACTTTTAACAAAAAAAGAATGTGTTTCAAGGGTTTTTCTCAATCTTTCATTTAGTGGTTAGCGAAAGACCTTTGTTTCTTGTTTCACAAGAAGGGAAACACAAAACAGGAAGCACCAGGTTGTTCTTCAGGCACAGCAAAAACTGCATTATCTCAGGGTGGAGGAGGAGCCCTGTGTAAGTCCAATCTTTTTTAACACAGAAATGAGTCTAGACAACTTTCCGATATTGAGATTTTAGGTCAGTGATGGTGAACCTTTTCAGCACTCACGGAAACATCGCGCGCACATATGCTTGTCAGGGTCACGCTATGGAAAAGCTGAACTTCCGGGTTCTAGCATGCATGCGCGCCCGACTATCAACTGGCCGATGCGCATGCGCAGGCCGGTTTTTGGCACTGCCGCGCGCATGAAGGGATTGCACTCTGGAAAAGCTGAACTTCCAGGTTCTGGCGGACACGCGCACCTCACAATTATCTGGCTGTTGTGCATGCACACAGAGGTTTTCGGCACTGCCACGCACGCAAAGGACAGATGATCGTTGCACGCGCATGCATGCCAGAAACCCAAAGCACAAACAGGCAAGGCCGCGCGACATGGCTTTGCATGCCACTTTGGGCACGCATGCCCTAGGTTCGCCATCACGGTTTTAGGTTATTAGTGGGATTCAATTCAATTCAGTTTATTACAGTCATAGACCAGAGACCAGAACAAATAAAAACACTCAATAAATATACAACTAAAAATTATGGAATAGAATAATAAATAACAGATAAACTCTATCATAAAATCCAGTCTGTCAATTACGCATGGTCTAACTATACTAAAATTTTACAATCCATAAACTGTGTGGCCCGTAGTCAGTTTAATACTAAAAGGGGAAGGAATAAGCAATGCAAAAAATTAACCACATTTGTTGTATAAAATAGCTGTGGTGGGTTAAGACACGTGTTTCCGATGAATCCCCAGTGCCGCTGCGCAGAATCTAGCCACCTGCGCTGTAGTTATGGACTGTTCATCCTTAAGCAGCCACTGGAGATAAGCAGTGTCGGAATGGCCAGGATACCTAGCAATTATTGGAAGGATATGTTTTTTCCAAATGTCTCTGTAAGAGGAACATCGAAGGAATATGTGACCAACAGTTTCCACCTCTCCTGAGCCACAGGAACAGTCTTTCAGTCAGTGGTATCTTTTTACACTTGCCGTACAGGACGGCCGACGGAAGCGCATGGCAACGTGGGAGCGAAAATGCTTTCCGATGGTTTGCCAACACCAACTGCCCAAGATTAAGTAACATTAAGGAGTAACAACATATCTAACGGCATCTGGAGCCAGAAACAGCAGAGCTTTCCCCAAGTCCGTTCCCTTTTCAATGTTACTAAAGATTATTAGTGAATTTCCCTTGGGGAAACCTGGCTTTGAAAGCATATACTGTTTAAGGACATAAATATAAAGGAAAAAAAATTACAGGCAGTCTTCAACTTACAACCACAACTGAGCCCAAAATTTATGTTGCTAAGCGAGACAGTTGTTGAGTGAATTTTGCCCCAATTTATGACGGTTCTTGCCACAGTTGCTAAGTGAATCACTGCAGCTGTTAAGTTAGTAAACAGGGCTGTTAAGTGAATCTGGCTTTCCATTGACTTCGCTTATCAAAAAAAAGAAAAAGAAAAGTCACAAAAAGTGATCACATAACCCCGGGACACTGCAACTGTCATAAATACAAACCAGTTGCCCAGCATCCAAATTTTGATCATGTGTCCATTGGGGATGCTGTCATGGTCATCTAAGTGTGAAAAAACGGTCACAAAAGTCACTTTTTTCAGTGACCTTGTTACTTTGAACAGTCACTAAATGAACCGTTGTAAGTTGAGGACTACCTGTAAAGTAAACCGTGGAAAATAAGGCAAGGCGGGGAAAACATTTTAGGATAGAAGAAAAATCCTGAGCTACAGCCTGAACCATCAACCAAACCCAAAAGGATTTGCGCTTAAAATCCCCATTTGATTTAGGAAAAGCAACAGGATTCCTTCCACACCTGGTCACTATTTAGAATAGAATTCTTTATTGGCCAAGTGTGATTGGACACACAAGGAATTTGTCTTTGGTGCATAAGCTCTCAGTGTACATAAAAAGAAAAATAAAATGCATTCATCAAGAATCATAAGATACAACACTTAGTGATCGTCATAGGTTACTAAATAAGCAATCAACAAAAATCATACTGTACTAGCAAACTAAATAAAACAATATAAATCATAACAAGTTTATAGTCATAAACATGGGAGGAGATAGGCAATAGGAAGGATGAGAAGAATAATAGTAATACAGAGTTAGTAAATAGTTTGACAGTGTTGTGGGAATTAGTTGTTTAGCAGAGTGATGGCATGGGGTTGGGTGGGCGGAAACTGTCTTTGTGTCTAGTTGTTCTGGTGTGCAGTGCCCTATAGTGTGTATTTTTTTTTTATTTGACTCAGGAAGTAAACTAATAAAATAATAAAATAAATAACAATAAAATATATAATAAAATCACACAATAAAATAAGTAATAGTAAAATATTAGTAGTAGTAGTAGTAGTAGTAGTAGTAGTAGTAGTAGTCATATTTCTATGCCGCCCACTCTCCAAGTACTCTGGATGCCTTACACCAAAGACAGTATACTAAATAGCATATTGCCCCCTAACAATCTGGGTAATAAAATATAATATAAAATAAAACAATAAAATAAGTAATAATAAAATATAAAATAAAATAAAACAATAAGTAATAATAAAATATAAAATAAAAACTAATAAAATAAGTAATAATAAAATATGTAATAAAATAAAACAATACAATAAGTAATAAAAATATATAATAAAATAAAACAATAAAATAAGTAATAATAAAATATAATATAAAATAAAACAATAAAATAAGTAATGATAAAATATAAAATAAAAACTAATAATAAAGTAATAATAAAATATGTAATAAAATAAAACAATACAATAAGTAATAAAAAATATATAATAAGTAATAATAAAATATATAGTAAAATAAAACAATAAAATAAGTAATAATAAAATATATAATAAAACAAAACAAAATAAATAATAATAAAATATAAAATAAACTAATAAAATAAGCAATAATAAAATATATAATAAAATAAAATAATAAAATAAGACAAATAAACTCCGTTTATCTGACCCAGGAAGAGCGACTTTTTTGCTTTGCATCTTTTTTTTTTTTTTTTTTTTTTTTGGGCGGGGGGAAAAAAAAAAAAAACCCAAAAAAACCCCCAAAGATCCGGGACCGATTAGATGTTCGCTTCCTCGAAAACATCCCCACTAGCGATCCTGGTGTGCCGGACTGTCTGCAACCCCACGCAGTGCAAAAAGTCCCGGGTCTGCATCGCCGCTCGCGGGCGGACGGACTGCCGGACAGCCGGACAGACGTCGGGAGAAGGAGACGAGAGATGACACGAGTCACCGGTGGAGAAGCCGGCCGGGGAGGCTTGAACTCTCCCGGGGCAAGTTGCAAAAAAACGGGGCGCTTTGCCGTTTCCCACCCTCCCCTCCCTTGCAAAAGAAGTGCAAAGTCGGAGATGGAGGAGAAGGTGAGGACTCACCATGGCGCCCCCCAGATCTCCTCCTCCTCCTCCTCCTCCTCCTCCTTCCGTGGCGTGGCCCGAGAGCGGGGTCGGCGGTCGATGGCGGCTCTCTCGTTCCGAATCGTCGTCCCGGCCTGCCCGGTTCGCCTTCCCTCGCGGCCGCCCAAGCAAGAGCGCCTGGGTCTCTTAGGCGTCGGGTTGGGAGGGGGGATTGGAATGGAGTGGAGCGGGGAGGGAGGGGGCGGGGCTGAAAAAGGTCTCTCCCGCGGACGGCTCCGCCCCTTTTCAAGCCTCGCGCGCGACTGGACGCGGGTTAGAGAGAGGGGCGGGCCCTGGCGAAGGGCTCCCCTCAGCCAGGCTGAGATTTGACGATTGCGGTGCTTGCGGCCGGCCGGCCCAGAAAAAAAACAAAAAAAAAGGCGCAGGCGCACTTCCCAAAGCCTCTCCTCCTCCTCCTCCTTCATCCCGCCGCACATCCTTGGGTTGGGATTGGCAGCGCCCCCTAGTGCAGACCTCGCGAATTGTACAATTCTGCATCCTATAGAGCTGCTGGTCGGTCAGCCGTTCGGCGGGAGAATCGAAGCTCTGCTCAGGTCCTGAGAGGATTTCTGTGCTCCCGAGAGACTTTGGGGCAAACGGGAGAAGCCTACCGGGATTTTCCCCGTTGCAGAGGAGTTAGGAGTCCCGGTTAGGTGGCCCTGGCATTAGAAGTGTGGGGTGAAATCACCCCGTGGTTTCCTTTTTTTTTTTTTTTTAACCCCTCCGGATGCAATCTAGTGCCTGGATCTCTATTGATATCAATTTTATTTTTATTTTTCAGATTAATCCCCCCCTCCCTCTTTCCAATGCAGGTAGTCCTCGACTTACAACAGTTCATTGAGTGTGACCGTTCAAAGTTACAACGGCACTGGACAAAAGGGCTTGTGTGACCCGTTTTTTTCACACTTGTGACTTTTGCAGCACCCCAACGATTATGCGATCAAAATTCAGATGCTTGGCAACTGGCTCATGGTTCTGACCCTTGCTGTGTCCCAAGTTTTGCGACCTTCTGATAAGCAACGTCAATGGGGAAGCCAGATTCACTTAACAACCGGGTTACTATGATCAACAGCGGTGATTCACTTAACAACTGTGGCAAGAAAGCTTGTAAAATGGGCCAAAGCTCATCACGTAACAAATGTCTCACTTAACAACAGAAATGTTGGGCTCAGTTGTAGTTGTAAACTGAGGGCTGACTACCTCTAATACCAGGGGCTAAGAAATAATCTAGATAAATCACTGCAATTTCAATGAAGTCTTTCAAACTTTGCATAAGGTTTGGCTAGCCGTGCATCCTGGGATAAATGATGGAGCATTGTACTCCTAACCGATCTACAAAAGTGCCCCTGGAAGTAGAACTGCCCAGTCCTGTAAACAGAAAGTTGGATTTAGCAAGATCATGATTCCCCTACCCACCCAGGAGAGCAGGTTTCAATGGCTGAAGCCACTGTTTCTCTTGGGATGGTCACTTAAATTCCTGGGTTTTGAAAAAAAAAAAAAAATCCCACACTTCTGTTTTTACCTGCAGGAGCTTGCTGATTTGCATCACTTTTAAGCTTGATTGCAGCCGATTTAAATGGTAGGTTTAGTTTAGTTTTTAGTTTTATTTAATTTATATACCGCCCTTCTCCCGAAGGACTCAGGGCGGTGAACAGCCATAATAAAAACAATGTACAAAATAGAATTTAAAAGCAGATTAAAATAATTAAATCATAGGCCAAATTTAAAACTCTCATTTTAAAACCAATTTTAAAACCCCATTAAAACCAAATTAAAATCATTTATCCCATCAAAGCGGCTTGCTGGAATAACAGGGTCTTCACTGCACGACGGAAGGCGCGGAGGTCGGGGATCCTTTGTATGTCCGGAGGTAATTCATTCCAGAGGGCAGGGACCCACAGAGAAGGCTCTCCCCCTGGGGGTCGCCAGTCTATATTGTTTGGCTGAAGGCACCCTGAGGAGGACCTCTCTGTGTGAGCGTACCAGTCGGTAGGAGGCAATCGGTGGCAGAATGTGGTCTTGTAGATAGCCAGGTCCTAAGCCATGGAGCGCTTTAAAGATGGTAACCAACAATTTGAAGCGCACCCAGAAGACCACCGGGAGCCAGTGCAGCTCACGCAAGAGGGGTGTTACATGGGAGCGACGGGTCGCCCCCATTATTACTTGCGCAGCCGCATTCTGGACCAATTGGAGCCTCCGGGTGCTCCTCAAGGGGAGCCCCATGTAGAGAGGGTTACAATAGTCCAGGTGGGAAGTGACGAGGGCGTGAGTGACTGTGCGCAAGGCATCCCGATCCAGAAAGGGGCGCAACTGGGAAATCAGGCGAACCTGATAAAAATGGAGGTATAATAAGAGATGGGTGGATGGATTACATTGATGGATGGATTTAAATTTAGGCATTTAAATTTAGTAAATAAATAAAATGGATGGATTATGCGCCATGGTTGACTCTTACTAACTTTATGGGATGGATTTCCTCCATGACATCTGTCCTTAATGGTCTTCTCACCAGTAACTGATCCCTTCCACCTTGTTGCTGGTCAGCTTCTTCTTTTCTTTCTTTCTCCTTTTCCAGCATTAGAACCTTCTCCAGAGAGCTGGGTCATCATGCAAGATGTCCAAAATAGAAAAATTTTGGACCTGGTGATTTGTGCCTTGCTTGAAAACTTTGGGTTGATTTGTTCAATTTGGTTTGCTTTCTTGGTTGTCCTTCATATTCTCGGGAGTCTTCTCCAACACCAGTGTTTAAAAGTATCAAGAGTTTTCATATCCTGCTTCTTCCAAGTCCAGTAATAACAGAAGATAAATGTAAATACTAAATCCCAGGAGGTAGATATTAGAAGATTATCTAATTCCCTCCCACCCCTCTCTGTGCATAAATCTAGTAAGGCACCTTTCAGCACATAAAAATATCTTTAATAAAAATAGGTGTCTACCAGTGATGGGATTCAAACATTTTTACTACTGATTCTGTGGGCGCGGCTTGGTGGGCATGGCAGGGGAAGGATACTGTAAAATCTCCATTCCCACCCCACTCCAGGGGAAGGTTACTACAAAATCCCCATTTCCTCCGATCAGCTGAGACTCGGGAGGCAGAGAATAGATGGGGGTGGAGCAGGGGTGAATTCTAAAAATTTTTACTACCGGTTCTGGGGGCGTGGCTTATTTTGTGGGCGTGGCTTGATAGTCATGTGACAATGCTTTAGGATTTAGCAGGGGTACTGGTCTACCAGGCTTTTAACTGCTTGCAGAACTGTACCGGTCTTCTCATTTATTTTTGCAGGCATTGGTCTACCCATTTATTTTTGCAGGCACCGGTCTACCACGAAACTGTCTTTTACCACTGATCAGCTGTAGGGCGGCCCTTTGAAGCCCCCTGGCAAGAGTTTTTTTTCCTTATAGCCCATCAGCTGGGACTCAGGAGGCAGCAATAGATTGGGGGTGGGGCCAAATAAAAGGTAAGAATAACGCGGGGGGGCGAGGGGCAGAACCGGTTCGGTGATGTCATATCGTCACCACTACCAGCTCGGCGGAACCGGGAGGAACCCACCACTGAGGTGGAGCCAGTCAGAGGTGGTATACTCAAAATTTCCTCTACTGCTTCTCCGAAACGGGTCAGAACCAGGGGTGAAATCCAGCAGGTTCTGACAGCTTCTGGAGAACTGGTAGCGGAAATTTTGAGCAGTTCAGAGAACCGGCAGCGGAAATTTTGAGTAGTTTGGAGAACCAGCAAATACCACCTCTGACTGGCCCAAGTGGGGTGGGAATGGGGATTTTGCGGTATCCTTCCCCTGCCACACCCACTAAGCCATGCCCACCAAGCCACACCACACCACCAAGCCACGCCCACAGAACCAGTAGTAAAAAAAATTGGATTTCACCACTGGTCAGAACCTGCTGAATACCACCTCTGGTGTCTGCTTTAGTAACGACACGGATTCTTTGATAAGACTGTTTAAGAAGGCTTTAAGATATGAAAAGGTGAGAAAAATCACTGTTATATGTATTCAACCGTCACAAAGTGCACAATGTATTAAGACAAAAACAATGTCCATTGGGAACAACTGCATCCATCCAAAAGGTTTATTTATGGAACTTTAGAAAGAGAAAGATTCTGAAACCTCAGGTATAGGATTGTGACAGGGAATGAAATAGATCACAGGAAGGTTCTTTCTTTTTTATTCTTTCATTCCTATTTATTATTTTATTATCTCTTTTATTAATGTGAAACTGTATTTTGAGGTGTGCCTCATCATGGCTTTAATATATTCTGGGTGAAATATTAAATGTTTTAAGGGGCAAGTACTTTTATGATAGTAGATCTTTCTTTCTTTCTTTCTTTCTTTATTTATTTATTTATTTATTTATTTATTTATTTATTTATTTATTTATTTAAATTTATATACCGCCCTTCTCCCGAAGGACTCAGGGCGGTGAACAGCCGGAATTAAGATACATATAATATAAAAGTTAAAATAACTAAAATAAATTAAATCGATTGGCCTCCCAATTTAAAACCCCACATCTATACAATTTAAAAAACTAACCCATAAGACCTTTTAGGCTAGGCCGGCTTGGTGGAATAAAAAAGTCTTCAAGGCCTTAGGGAAAGTATGGTGGTCCGGGGTCAGTCGTATTCCGGGAGGGAGCTCATTCCAGAGGGCGGGTGCCCCCACAGAGAAGGCTATCCCCCTGGGGGCCGCCAGCCGACATTGCTTGACCGACGGCACCCTGAGGAGGCCCTCTCTGTGAGAGTGTATTGGCCGGTGGGAGGTTATCGGTTGCAGAAGGCAGTCTCGTAAATACCCTGGCCCTAAGCCATGGAGCGTTTTAAAGGTGAGAACCAATACCTTGAAGCGCACCCGGAAGACCACTGGGAGCCAGTGCAAGAAGCTCTATTCTATTCTACCACCTCTTGCAATATTAAGCAACACACAGTATCAACAGTAGAAACCTTCAGGTTTCTAGGTTCCATTATCTCCAAGATCTTGAAATGGACACCTAACATTAGAACCGTCCTTAAAAAGGCACAACAAAGGATGTTTTCTTCCTGCGTCAACTCAGAAAGCTCAGGTGGCCCAACGGATCTGCTGATGCAGTTCTACAGAGGAATTATTGAGTCTGTCATTTGCACCTCAGTAACTGTCAGGTTTGGCACAGCGTCCAAACAGGATAGGTACAGACTTCAAC